AGCCTAACCACTAGGCCACCGACGCCGATATTACATGTTGTATAACACTTCCATATATGCAGTTGTGAGCGCCGTAAAACTTTTACTAAAACTAAACTGATATAACACTTACAAATGGCCTATATTCACATGTTGTGCTGGGATGCACTTTTAAAAAAGTGTTTTCTTTCTTCTATTATTTCTCTGTTATTTATTACAGCCTAACATTCTTATGAGATAATAACAGAAATTTGATTTTAGAAGTAAAAAGTTGAACTAAGCATGTAGTGAATTTGGAGCAAAAAGGTTTCTGCAAAAGGTGCTACTGGGTCTATTGCAACAACAGCAACATTTTCCCTAACTCATTACGCAAAACTTTTATTGAATACAATAGGTGTACCAATAATTTGAGAATTTTAAAAGAGACATATTTCATGAATGCAGACCGAGCACAACTAATCTGAAACAATCCTCATCGCTCTATTCGTAATTCATATGAATCAGTAGGCCTATAGTGTGGCAGTCACTGAGGTATCCATACAGAATCTTTTAAGTACATGTATTCATTCATTCATTCATCCAGCGCCACATCTGCGACACACATTGGCAATCATGGTTCTCCATTCATTCCTTTGCTCGGATGCTCTCAAAAAAGCTATGTTTCCCTAATCTTTCCCCATTACCCATTTGTTTAGGTTCCCTGTAAGTTGTTCTGGGCCTACCCCTGCCTCGTTTGACTTCAATTGTGCCAGTTCAAGACCTTTATTTCTATTCAGGTGTCCCAAAAACAGCATTTGCCATTTCCTGATTGCTTTTAACAGTGAGCGTCGCTTGTGGGCTTCATCAAGCACTACCTCATTTGATTTCTTTTCCTTCCACAATATTCTCAGCAGTCTCCTAAGAAACCACATTTCTGTTGCTTCTATTTTATTTTCACCGAATGAAGGAATCAAGCGCTCATCATTATTGCAGCATTTATGGAGTTCTTGGTATCATTTTAAAGCATGTTTATTTATTCTGCTTTTCATTAATAAATATCCATTTATCTGGAACAGAAGTCAAACAAAATATCTGTGATTGAAGGAGATGTGGGTTGTCGGTTGTCAGAGGTAAAATTAGTGAGAAAATGGCCACTCAAGTTTGGTGACTTCCATAGCTTGAGTGTCCTGGATAACTGTAATTTTACTTTTATTTTGTGCTTTTAGTGAATATTTTTCAGTAAAATTCACACAAAAATGAATTTCAAATAAAATATAGCATAGGGCGAGAAATTTATACCATAGTACCGTGGTGGTATTGAGCTTTAGAGCTTTTGTGGGTGTGTGTGTGTTTTCTAAGCGCCACCGAGCACTTTTTGTGGATTCTGGCACGTTATAAATTCCTTTATTATTATCATTATATCATTATTATTATTATTATTTTCTTCCGTTTCATTAGTTTCCTGAGCACCTGATTTAACCATGGTGCTCCACACATAATTTCATAAGGGTCACTGTACACATTAACACTGTCGATGGAGAAGGAAAAATGACCCACCTAGGAATGGTGCAAAATGCATGAAAGCATTACCAAAGGCTCTGTCTTCAGGGTAAAGAATTCTGAAAAAAGAATACCATAACCATTTTTATTGTCATCATCATCATCATCATCATCATCATCATCAAGTAATTGATAAAATTGTCATAATCACCAATACCAACTGTTATTACACTTGTCTTCTTCAAATACAAATGTCCAATGTCTATCAATTAAGTTGTTTACATCGTTAAGAGCAAAAAGCCAGAATGATTGTGACTGTATTGATAATTTCATAACCAAATCTCCAAACTGTACTGTATGTCACACTACCATATAAAGCAGCCAAGTCTAGGCATTACCACAATAACAACGC